CGGGAGGGAGGCTGCGGTGCGCTGAGCGGGCGTCTGCCCCGTCCGATGTGCCCCGGGGTCTCTGTCCCCGCTTTGCCCCACACCGCGGGGCCTTTTACAAGCCCAGAGAGGCAATGGCAAAAAAAATCATCGACCTTGACCTGGCCAAGACTTCGAATTCATGCCAGGCCTTTCCTGGAGGGCAAACGAGCTCCTGGCCGCTCTGCTGGGAGCAGGGGAAGGGGTCAGGGGCCGGTTTGGTGGCGGAGGAGAGCGGGCCGGTACCTGAGGAAGAGGACGGGCGCTCATCGGCGCGACGCGTGTCGCCCTGCGTGCGTCTGTCTGCACGGGTGGTGCAGGAGTCGCGCTGCGGGAGGGGCTGGGCTGTGGTGTGGAGCACAAACTCTGTTGTCTCTCAGCTTTGAAGGAAGGGGCGTGCGGGGTTTGGTGGGCAGGGAGGCTAACCTGAAAAAAGCTTCAGCGCGAGCAAGTGTCGGGCCCGCTGCTCGCTCTGCCGAGAGATGTCAGGGTGTGTGGGGGGGGTTTTCTAACTAAAAAAAGCTCCAAAGCTCTTCCCAGGAGGACGAACTCAATGCCAGCTGCGTCGCGTCTCTCTGTAGCCAGAGCCGGAACGAATCTGTCTGACCCATCTCTTTCGCAGCGACGTCCTCGCCCTGCCCATCTTCAAGCAGGAGGAATCGAGTTTGCCTCCTGAAAACGAGAACAAAATTCTGCCCTTCCAGTACGTGCTGTGTGCTGCCACCTCCCCCGCCGTCAAGCTCCACGACGAGACGCTCACCTATCTCAACCAAGGTGAGAGAAGCCCGGTACCCTCCGTGGATGTAAGCACCTTAAAAAAAAAATAATAAAATTCTACCTTTGGAAATTTCCCCTCGGGAACGGGAAGCGGCGGCTCGCCAGACCGCCCTCGTTTGGAAGCGCCAGCTCCTTCGCCTTGCTGCCTGCCCTCTGCTTCCGGCAGGGAATCGCCTGTGGGGTTGAAGCTGATTCAGATCCGTGCAGTGTGAGGCGGTGCGCTGGCGTACCCGTGCCGGGGTGCTCTGCAGCGGCAACGCCGTGCGGGTTCGAGCGGTGCCCGCTGCTTGCGAGCAGGACTGGGAGACCAGGGCTGGCGACCAAAGCCAGATGAAGCTTGCGTAAACGATTCCTTCCCTGTTCTTGATCTCGGGTTGAGAAGGGTGATTCCTGGAAAGCGCGGCTGCAGCAGGGGGGAGGAGAGTCTCTTCCTGGAGAGGGGCGTTGTGTGGCTCCAACGGCTCGTGCTCCTATGACCCCTCGCTAAAACACGGCGAGAAAATCAAGTGGCGTGTCTGTCGTGGCCAAAAAACACGTCCAGATGCCAGAGGAGGGGCGGCCGGGGGGCTCGCG